ACGCCACACCACACCACACCGCACCACGGGAGAAGCCCTATCACACCTGTCCAGGGGCCTGGTGAGGCAGTGAAGGGTGGGTCTGCATGGATCTGGAGTTCTCTGCCAGAAAAACGACTCGGTCCACATTCCGCCGTGTGGGTAAGGCAATTAGCTGTGTTGTGGAAAGGACACGTGTTGGGAGGTTTGGTGGTGGGATTTAACTGTGTGCTCTTAGAATTATGGTCAGGGTGGGGAGGGGGGGTGCTGTCAGTGGAGGAGAGTGAGAGGGGCAGGTGAGGAGCCCAGGGCTGATCAAAGGTAAGCCTGTTTGCTCTCTGGCCTGGTGCCGGGGAAGCTGGCACCAGGCCTCTGTGATTGTAGCCAAAAAGGGAGTTAGAGGTTGGCAGCTGAACCCCTCCCAGGACCTGGAGGACGAGGTGTGGTCCCTGGACAAGCCAGGGAGTGAAGTTAATTGGTTTTGACAGGTGCCAGCAGTTAAATGGCCCATCTCACCTGCTTTTGCTTTTCTCACCAACCTTTGCTCAGGCCAGAGGCTCTCCTTCCTCTGCCTGTATGAGCCCCTCTGATCCACCCAAGGCTGGCTCTAAACTCCGCTCACATCAACTCGTGTGCCGTCTGAGCTTAGCCCGCCAGCCTTGCCCTCCAGAGTTGACCCCGGCAGCGATCTCTTTTCAGGACTTTTGGGGGGCCCTACCCTGTGCTACTTTTGGGTTTACTTTCAAACATATGCAAGGTAACTAGGGTAATGGGACCTTAAAAACAACAACAACAAACCAACGGAATTCACAAGGTTTGAGGGTGGCCTTTCTGTGGCCCCTTTGCAAGCTTATACCCATTTCATTGATTTTTTTCCCCTCAAAGCATTTTAGAAGCTCTTAGGTAATGCTGGACTCAGAACATGCGTGCAAAAGTCTTATTTCTAAAACTTGGCCCTAACATTACTGTTTTATCAATTCAACTGAAGGGAGAATTTGCATCTAAGGGAGGCAGGAGATCAGTCACCTGAAGAAGTGAGTCATTTAAGACAGAGTCCTACACGTTTGGAAACATTTAGGGAACTTCCAGCCAATCAAGGGTTCTAGCACGTTAGTCTCAGAGAAGTCAAGGTAGACCCAGCAATCTGCTTTTCAAACTAGTATCCCAGGCAAATCTGATATAGGTGGTGCCAGTCACCCCTGAGAAACATGGGGTCCTCTCTGAAAGGTATGGCTGGAAGGCGATGGATAGAGCTGAGAAAGAAAGGGGGTGTGTCCCTCGAACATCGTAGTGGAACGTAAAATGGTTCGGCCATCATGGAAAACAGTTTAATGTTCAAAATTTTATTTTATTTTTTCATAATTAATCACCACTTTTATTCCTCACTAAAACTCCAGGTTTACTACTTGTGATTTTATTTTATTTTACTTTATTTTTTTAAATGCATTTTTTATTGAATTTATTGTGGTGACATTGGTTAATGAAAATTATATGGGTTTCAGGTGTACAATTCCATAAGACATCATCTGTATACTGTGTTATGGTTCCTCAAAATCTTAAATGTAGACATTACCATATGACCCAGCAATTCTGCTCCTGGGTACATACCCAGAGAAACTGACAGCAGGCCCTCAAATGGATATACGCATACACGTTTGTAGGAGCACCGTTCACAGCAGCCAAAGGTGGAAACAACCTGAACGTCCACTGCTGGGGGAAGAGACCAACAAAATGTGGTGCGTCCATACCATGCGATATCGCTGAGCCATAAATAGGACTGAAGCATCGACGCCCGCTACGGCGTGGATGAACCTTGGGAGCACTACGCGGAGCGAAAGGAACAGGCACAAAAGATGACATCTTGCGAAACGTCCAAAACAGGTAAATTCATAGAGACGGAAAGCAGATTGGCGGTTGCCAGGGGCTGGAGGGAGGAGAGTAGCTGCTGGGTGGCTAAGAGGTTTCTTTTTAGGGGGATGAAAATGTTTTTAGTGGTTGCACAACAGTGTGAATGTCCTAAATGCCACCGAATTGTTCACTTGGAAATTATGTGAGCCCAGCCGGGCGTGGCTTAGCGGTTGAGCATCGACCTAGGATCCAGGCGATCGGGGTTCGATTCCCGGTCAGGGCACATGCCCAGGTTGCGGGCTTGATCCCCAGTTGGGGGGCGTGCAGAAGGCAGCCAATCAATGACTCTCTCATCACTGATGTTTCTATCTCTCTTTCTCACCTTTCCTCTCTCTGAAATCAATAAAGACATATTAAAAAAAGAAAAGAAAAAAAGAAATTATGTGAGCCCTGGCGGGGTAGCTCAGTTGGCTTCAGAGTTGCCCCGATAGGCCAAGGTTGCAGGTTCAGTCCCCAGGCTGGGCACATACGGGAATCGGGCAATGAGTGCATAAATAGTGGGACAACAAATCGATGTTTTGTTTTTTCTCTCTCTCAAATCAATCAATAAAAGTAAAATAAAATGTGAATTTCACCCATAGAAAATAAAAAGGAAAAGAAATGGGGTGTCGGGGGTGCCAAGGAGCAAGGCGTCAGCAGGGTTACCCAGCACCACCCAGGAAACAGACCCTCTGTGAGACAGGAAGCCTGTCCTGCTCCCCACCCCTCCTGGGGAGATGTCCCTCCAGACTGGAGAGCCCAGTGCCCTTTGCTCTGACTCCACTCACCAAGCAACCTCCTGATCATTAGCGTGGTGTCCTAGGCAGGTGCTTGGTGCTGAGACGAGCATCTGAGATGCTGGGAATGGCTCTCAGCCGGCAGTCAGGTCGACTCCCTTGGCACTGTGGGGTCTGCATCCCTCTCTGAGGAGCCTGCCACCTGCGACAGAGAGAGGAACACTCAGTCCTGCTGCGGGAATTGTTTCTTCGGGTAGCACACATTTGGTAAGAGCCTGATCTGTGCCAGGCACTGGTTTTAGGCTCTGGAAACTCAGCAGTGAACGCGATGGACACAGTCCCCCACGAAGCTTACATTCCGGTGTTCAGGTAACACATGTGTAACGAGAGGTGCTCAATAAGTGGCAGCTGGTATCCTCAGGAGTAGTAAGAGGTTTTTGTGATAATTTCTAAGAGTCCCTTCTTTCTCTTCCCAGCAGTGGTGCCAGCGGCCTCGCCCGCAGATTCGCTGCCTGTGGCCTCTCACCAGGACGGGCTGGCTGTCTGCGCTCTCACCCACCCCTTCCCTCGTCCACCCGCCTCCTATAGTCCAGAGCAATGAAACCCACCAACAGCCGACAGTGGGCTCCGACTATTTTTCATGACCCTGTGCTTCACCGTGGATTGAAACACAGTAGTGAGTGCTTCTAGTGCGTCCTTCACGGGAAATGTTTGCTCTGACTGGAATGGGAGGCCTTGGTTCTGGGACAGATGCCTGGGGGTTGGGGGGCAAGACTCAGAGGCTGAGTCGACCTGGTCTAGGGCACCTGTGCTTAATGGCCAGGCTCTGCTTCTCAGCCTGAACAGCGTTGCCTGTTAGATGGGCCAGGTACAGAACCCCAGGTACAGAAACTAGGGTACGAGACTCCCCAGGGCAGGAAGCCCCGATGTCTAGCAAGGACCAAAACTGGGAAAACAAGAACCTTGTCCCCAGGGTAACCTGTCTTTCCCTAGCATATTACTGGTCATGGGCTGATCATTCGGTTTGAGACCTTTCTTCCCTAAAGATAACATCTAGGCCTCAGATGCATTTCAGCCCCAGGCCCAGAAAAGCAGCAAAACCAGACAAGTGACTCTGTGGCTGCCTCAGGACCAGCTACATTGACTAATGACCCCCTGCCCTGGCACTGACCAATCAGTGGAGACCACGACCCTGAAAGAGCGCACCTGGAAAGCTGATGAATATTCTATTGAGACACTCCCCAGACCTCCCCTAAGATTCCCACCTGCAAGAGAGAGAGAAATATGCTCAAGACAAAGAACCTAGTGCACACTCCCCACCAGGAAAGCACGCCAGTGCCATCTCCATCCCCTTTCATCTCTCTGAGGGGACCCCATGAGACTTGCAACAAGGGGAGCAATGGGCACCAGCAGCTCATCCCGGGCTAACCTCCTGACCCTGTCTCCAGGGCCCCTCTCACTGACTTCTCAGTGAGCCAAAGCAGCCCAGCCAGGCTCTCCTGGTACTTCTATGCACCTTCCTTGTCTCACTGTCCCAAGGGTATTTTGCTGCCATCATGGACCCAATACCCTTCGGCTCAGTGCTGTGTAGCCCTTCCCTTTGGATGTCCCCCATCCCCCCCCTTTTTAATATGTCTTCATTTCAGAGAGAGGAAGGGAGAGGGAGAGATAGATACAAACATCAATGATGACAGAGTCATTGATCGGCTGCCTCCTGCATGCCCCCCACTGGGGATCGAGCCCGCAACCCCAGCATGTGCCCTGACTGGGAATCGAACCCCGATCTCCCGGATCCTAGGTCAGTGCTCAACCACTGAGCCACGCCCAGCCGGGCCCCATCCCCTTTTAATAACTTTTTTTCATCCACCCATCTGAGATGGCTGTTTAGCCTGCCGGTGTACCACCCACCGTTAACCTTTCATTACCCATCCCGAATCTGCCCTGGGTGGGAATGAATCACAGCTCCACTCTTTCCTCTCGCCTCTGACACTCCCCAGCCTACCTTACCACTTGGCCAGCTGTAGACAATTCCTCAGCTGATTTAGCTTAGACATTCTCAGAGCAGATGGGAGGGACGTGGGGAAGGTGACAGGAGGGGCTTCTGGGTCCGAGGACGTTCTGCTTCTTGACCTGGGCGCTGGTTACATGGACGTGGTCATTTGTGAAAGTCTGTCAGCCTATCCACTCAGGGCCTGGGCACTTTCTCTAGTATATTCTACTTCACGCAAATATTAAAATGAAAACAGAGTATATGTGCTGAGGCACTTGTATGAAGATGCTTTTCACAATGCTCTTTATGACATTAAAAACTGGAAATAGCCTGCATGCGTTAAGAGTAGAGGATTGGTAAAACAACTTTTAGTGTACCTATGAAATAGAACATTATACAACCACTAGAAATATTGATAAAAGGTTTATTTATTCACTTGGAGGTGTTAAGTAAACAATACAATATAAAATAAGTTAGAAAAGAAAGTATATTCCACAATATTAAAGGTGATCATCTCTGGGGAGAATACTGGTATCCATAAAGTTAACTAATCTAAGGAGCTTGTCAGGTACATTCCTGAGCCCCCACTCTCGGGTTCTCAGTCAGTCTTCCCCCCACACCCGGACCACACACCTACCCAGGTTAACTGTTATGCATGGCCTGGCTCCTGCGGGTTTGGGGGTCCTTGGACCCCTTTGTGAATCTGATGTAAACGATGCATCCTTTCCCCTGAAAAATAAATGGGCACACCCAATCTCAGATACAATTGGAAAGGGACGGTCCAGGACTCTAGGTAAGAGCCCTAATGTGGAGAGACATCAACCTCGGTTTTTTTCTTGTTCCTTCTTTTCCTCAAAGGCCCCTTGCTCCCAGTTTCCTAGAGGCTAAGGACCTCTGCCAGGCAGCACAGGCCACGATCGAGCACATCTCCTGTGCGTTTCTGTCGTGGCTGCTGGTGCCACCCAGAGGGGGATGCACCAGAGGGTGAACAGCGGCAGGTGGTGGTGGGTGGGCTGTGGTGGTGGCCCTGGGGCCTGCTTTGAGGACTTGCCTGTGCTGCCCACCCTGTCTCCCTGCCTCCCCGCTGGGTCCCCTGCAGGAGGGCAGGCTGCCTTGATGGCTGCACAAGTCTATGGAAGCTGTCCCCAAATTTAGATGCTCTCTCACACTGATAACAACAGTCCCTCCATATATCCACGTGCCATTTCATTTCTTCTGACCTGAGCCCCTACAATGAGATAAAAGTACATCAAACAGTACAATGGGAACAGGGTTGAAGCCATGGCTTTGTGTTTTACGGTGGACTCCATACTTTATGATCATAAATTTGAGGACCCTAAGAACATTTTATTAACAGATCTTATGATTCCATCTTTTTGTGTGTACCTCGAAAGTAATGGATGGCAGGGGCGGTGGAAGGTGCTAAGGCTTCTAAGAGGAAAGAGGCAGCCCAGGAGTCAGGTCCACGTGGGAGAGGAGTTAGTGCCCTGACAATGGCCTCCACCACCAGGTGGCATCACTGGCCGCTCTGGAAGCGCAGCTCATCTCCCAAAGCCCAAATCTGTGGAGCCCAGATCCAACTCCTCTACAGAAAGGCCAATCCTTCCCCAAAGGGCTCTGCCCTCAAGCCTCTGGGCCCAGTGTCTATAAGGGCCCCCACAGCACCTCCCTAACACCCACATTTGTCCCCAGTTTGGCCCAGAGGAGGGCTGCCAAGCAGGGTGAGCCAGGGAAAGATGACATAGGGCAGGATAGTTTTCTTAGCCCTGGCATAATAAAAAGAAAACCCAAACATTTTTCTTTATTTTAATATCTAAAATTAAAAAAAAAAAATTAAAAAATCCCCAAACCAGCGACGAAAACAATCCATTTGAATGCCAGGGACCCGACTGGTCTCAGGTCCCCTTTTCGGAGCTGTTCTGAAGTGGCACCTTCCCAGCAGCTCCGGGGTCCCGGGCCTGTGGCCAACCCCAGAGGGCAGGAGTCCGCCCTGGCCTTGACCCAGCACGTGGGTATAACCCAGGGCGAAAGGCTGTTTTCAACACGTGGTTGCTCTAGGAGGAAGCTTTCCTTCGAGTCTGGGCCGAGGGTTATTTCTTGTGGAGAAATTTCATTTTATGGCCTAAAAAAAGTAAATGCGAACATTTCACTAGGAGACAGAGGCTGCCTTAAATCCTGCCCTCTCCGCCCCAGCCGCAGTGCGGACAGCCATGGGTGCCCCGCCGCCCGAGGGGCTCACTCGGTGCCCTTCCTGGCACTGCCCCTCCCGCCCCAAGGAAAAGGGAGTTTCGGGAGGAAGACTGTCGGGGCTGCCCGGCGAGGCAGGGACCTCTGAAGGTAACGGTCCCGAGGAGCCAGGTGGGCGGCGGGTGGCGGGCATCTGGCCCCAATGGCCACCTTCCAGCCCGTGAGGGACCAGCAGGCCTCCACGGCCCTCGCTGCGCCCGTGCCCGCACTCCTGTCTCGGTCTCGCCTCCACCCG